AATATATAGGATATACTGTATGCTAGTGAATTATAGTGGTATTTTCTAGCAGGATCAATATATAGTTTGAATATTCAAAATATTATTTTCTCCAAAAAAGCTAATAACGTAGCTTCAGAAAAGAGAGTTCCTAACATAAATCCATTTAATTATACTCTTAGAATTTTCTTCCTAGTTAAAAATAAAGTAAAAGAAATAGAGAAAAAAATGAGGGAAGATTATCTGGACCTCCCATAGAATTCTGTGGGCATACAAAGGAGGTAACTTGATGATTATTTCTGGTAGTATTATAGTCTGAAATTATTACTTTTGCTTGGTTCCCATTTGTCCTAAAAAACCTCTTCAAGACAACTTTACATTTCCATGCTGTTAATTTAAAAATACAAAAAAGATAGTAGTTCTAAAGTAAGATAATGAGAATAAAAGTCAATGCTACGCTAAAGCATTAAGCATTAACAATTATCTGAAGCATCTTTGTCCTATTATGGGAATTCACTTTTTTTTTTAAAAAAAAGGTTTAATCTCTTCATGTTCTTTGGCTGGAAATATGCCAGTTGGTAGCAACTTTTATTTGTTTCATAATTTTTACTGAAAAACATATTATACAAAAATAAAAGTAAGTATATTTGTATTTAGCAAGTGTAATTCAGACATCTTTTTTCTAATGACTACATAAGTTTTCTTTGCTTCTTCTACATAGCCTAAATAGCACTGTATGCCAAGAAGATGTAGTCCTATGTTATATAGAAATAATTGTGTATACTGGATCCAGTGCATACTTGGTAGAGAAGAAAGTGCTTGTATGGACTCATAGGTGGTCTTTGTGTATGAGAAAAAGGAAAAAAAGGGGGAAAGTTTACACAGCTGTAGCTTTTGTCTATATGGAAAACTTGCTCTTTCCAATATTTGCTGTGGTTCGTTTTAAAAAAATTTTTACTTACAAATTCTTAGACAAAAGCTTTGAAAATCATTGCTAATCATGTAGTCAGTAATAGGATGGGTGGTTGAGCCGATTCATTGGTGCCAGTTCTATATAACATACCAAAACTAATTATACAGTTTGTTTGTTTGTGGCTTAATATACTGTGTGAACCTTGCCAGTCATGGCCTATTCAAATTGCCATAATTAAAGTATGTATTAGCATGCTGTATAAGGCTATCCAATTTAAGAGTTTGGATCCCTTTCATTGAATTATTCAATGAAATAGAAAGATGCTGTTTCCACTGATTTTAGTCAGCCTTATATTATACTTTATCATTCCTATTCTTTTAAATCAAGGCAAATGAACACAGTTTAGAAAGCAAGTTGACTGAAGCTGAATGAAAGCATTCTCAGGAGTTAAAGAATACTGAGATTGTATATTCTTGCATAATAGTAAGGATCATAATTGTTTGGAAATAGCAGTACAATTTAGAATTTGAAGTAGGCTGTACAGTCATTAGTGGAATCTCTTGCTTATTTCAGGAAGTTTAAAACTTGAGACAATATAAATATAATATCTCTGTTGGAATAACTCCACTTAAAAAAGCCTATTGCTCTTTTAAACAATAATTCTGTTGTCAAAACCCTTAATTTATAAAGGTTTTTTTTTAAGGTTTAAATAAAATCTATTTTTAACTTAAAAACATGAAACCTAGCCCTCTTTCTGGTCAGAAGAGTTAATTTTTTACTTAACTACCTTTCAAAATATTATATACAATGCTGTCATTAGCAGCTCTTGTCTAGTCTATATATGCATATTTCTTCAGCATTTCAATGGCTCTAGTTTATCCAATCTGCTGTGCATCCTTTTTTCTTCTGAACTCATTCACTACTTGTCTATATTCTTCTAAATGAAATTAGGCATTCTAATCTATCTAGGATCAATCTGGAATAGGAATCTGAGACCTTTAGGGACAGATTATTCCCTGATAAAACTGATAATACCTGGAACTAATTTTAGCCGCATTGTTGTATAGCAATGAATAAATGGGGGCTGCAACAACCTACATCATATTTCCCCCAAATACAGTCTCTGGCCCTGCTCATAACTCACAGAAGAAACCAATTACACTTTCAATTGCAAAAAGCTCATTATTCTAAATACTTTGCTATGCTGTACATTCATATAAACATTTAAGAAGTGCTTACATTATTTTAAAGATTATTTTTTAAAGTACATGGGTTTCTGAACCTACTCTCTGAGTGTCAATTATTTGGGGGTCATCCTGCCACTTCTATAGTATCTCCAGAGTTATGCCAGGAGGTTTCTCTCTTTTTATAACAAGGGGTTATTGAGGATATAATTATGGGGGGAACTATTCTTTTGCCTAAATACTTTATCGTTTCTAAGGAGGAGTGTAACATACTTCATTGGACCTTTTCTATTTCAACTATTTTTTGAAAGGGTTGTTTCAAGATTAAATCAATTGCTTCCACCCTTCCCACTTGCAAATGGGGTTGTGGTCTTCTATAAATTTGCAGGTGGATTTACCAGATGCATACTGTACATATCTGTAAAACCCTACTCTCATTGCTTCCTTAGCTTTGATGGATTTATTTTCTGTAGGAGCTTATCATTTGCCTGTTTCATAATCCATTAATTTTTTCTTGTTTGTTTTCTGAATGTATTTATACATGTAAGTAAGACCACACCTGGAATACAGCATCCAGTTTTTGGTCATTACAAAAAAGATGTTGAGACTTTGGAAAAAATGCAGAAAGAGAAACTAGGATGATTAAATTAAAAACTAAAACATATGAAGAATGGTTGTAGGACATGGCTAGTCTTGAGAAAAGAAGGACTAGAGGTGACATGACATGATTCCAGTATTTGAGGGGCTGCCACAAAGAAAACCGGGTAAATTTATTTCCCAAATCACCAGAAAGCAAGACAAGAAACAATGGATGGAAACTAATCAAGGAGAGAAGCAACCTGGAATTAAAGAGAAACTTCCTAACAATGAGAACAGTTAGCCAGTGGAACAGCTTGCCTTCAAAATATATATTTATATTTATATTTATACTCTGTTTTAACATACTCTGTTAAATGTAGTGGTTCTATAAGAAGAAACATAAGATAGTTCCATATTTGTTTCTGATTGCAATTCAGAGTTCTTATTTTGACCATCAATGCCCTACATGGCTTCGCACTAAAGTATTTTAAGACCATATTCTGCACCTAGTTTCAACTCATCTGATTCAAATATCTTAAGAGTATTTGCTTGAAATCCCCATTTTCAGGATGAAAGGCATATGTAAAGGCTTATAGCAGGACCTTCTATACTTTGAAATAGTCTTCCCCAAGGAATCAGTCTATTCCCCCACTGTCCTCTAGTGAACTATTAAAAATAGAGTTACTTTCGAGAGTCTAAGGAAGATAAATTGGTATCATGAGATTGAATAATGGATTGATACTATTTGATTGTTTTTTTTACTATGGATATATATGAGCCACTCTCTTTTTAATTGTAGAAGAGAGATCAGGTAAATCATTTTTCCTCTTGGTTCGGCCCTACATCACAGATTCCTTCTACTAGTAATTGATTTCAGATAATTTCACTGGAAGTTTTTTTTTCACACATCCCTCCTCAACCTATGTGCATCTATGTAAAGATATAGAGCTTGTGTCTAGGTCCTTTATATCTGAGATACATGCTCCAGCCATGAATCATTGAGATATATGAATGTATCTGAATGTCTCTCAATATAGAAGGTGGTGTTATGGTCACCTTTCTAGTCCTATGCCATGATCAGAGTGGCCTGATGATATTAGACAGTCCCACAATAGTCAAGTCTATAAAGAAATAGTAATGGTAAATTATGGATATAGCAATATCCTTCCTGATTGGCTGAGCTATACAAGAAACCTAACCAAAAATGGAAACAAACACTGTCAAATCCCACTAGGGATTTAACCAACTTCATTATTTTCTCACCTTAGTAGCCTCAGTAGCCATGGTTCACCATGTTGCCTTGCCTTGTTGTACTATCTCCCCATTTTTTGCATTCTAAGTCAAAGTCCCCATTCTATCCATCAGGGACATATCTTCACAGCTTGGAAGATTTGATTCTGTTACCTTTCTGGAACATACAACAGGTTACACTGACTTTTTGGAGACCCCCACCACAAGCTTTCCTATGTAATAATTGTGCAGGAAAATCTTTTCAGGTCTTAACGATCTCTCATAATCACTTGGATTCCAAAGTGCAAGGAAATACAATGCCTGGAATCCCAGGCTGGACGTAATAGTGCAGATCAAAATTCCATAATTTCATAGGACAAACTGAATAGGCAGTGTATATCAGTCTGTGTGGGAAGCATACAGGATACCAGCTTTGCCATTGCCAAAACAAGAACAGATGGAAATTCACTCCCACTCCAGAAAGGATTGCTTTTTTAGCTCTTTATCTAGGACAAGCAGGAGAAAGAGGTGCAAGAATTGGAACACCAATTGCAGTATAAAAATAGACCAGCAGTTGCTGGAATTCTTTCATAATGGCTTCTTAGCTGTTCTAAGCTTATGGGCACGAGTGTTTCTTATTTCTTACCTGTAATGGAAGTATCCAATTGTTCTTTTTCTCAGGGTTCATTAGCTTCATTAATCTGATGCAACATAAATTATAATTGTGTAACATTCAGAGATTATATCATGATATAGTTATAGACTACAATCTGCTGCTATATGGAATATTGTCGTCTGTCTGTCTGTCTATCTTATCTATCTATCTATCTATCTATCATCTATCTATCTATCGTTTGAGGGATTGGGGCTAGGAAGTAGTATTACACATACATTGCTCTCTCTGACCCTAAAATTTGAGAGGGTAATACTCTATAAACTGGATGAAGTGTTTAGGAATCACAAATATTTTATGTTAAATAATTAGTCAACACTCATCATTATTTCAACGTAATCTTGCCTAAATTGAACATTGAGAATCTTACCATATTAAACAACAGAACAGTATTAGTAATGATGTAAGTGTAATGAATTTTTTTCTATTTGTGCATTTTTAGGGCTGCAAAAATGGACCTTAAATGTGCTTTGGAAGAGTGTTCAGTGGCAATAAATTTATTTCTTAACAATAAATTTTCAGAAGCTTTGGAATTACTTCGACCATGGTGAGTATTGTTTGCTGGAGAATTTTTATCTAGTAGCTAGAAATGTATTTAAGGCCTCTCAATAATATAATTTCAATTTGCCTAAAATAATTTGTTTTACAACTATTTAATCCCATTCTAGTCTAAAACATAATTTTTTAAACTATCGAAGAAGGGTCCCTAAATTTTGCCCTAGGCATGATAGTTAAATTCAGACTTTTGAATATCACTGAATATAATTTTTCACCTGATTCTGTTTCCCAGCAGATGCTCAAGGATTTCATGAAACAATATTGTGTTCTTTAAACTAGTCTTTTGTTATAAACTGCTATTTTTTAAATGAACTTTTAACATTTGTATTTATTTTACAAAATATTTAAGATTTATTCATTCAGACTTGCCATTTTGTCAAAAAACAAAATGTCTTTTTGTTTTCAGTGTTTTATAGAGTTGTACGTTTTTATTCTTTTTGATATAAAAATACTAAATTTTAATTATTAAAAATGGTATATTGATTTCTTGCCAGAACTTACCTCATTAGATAATTACTTTTATGGGAGAGAGGTCATCACAATATTGCAAGGTTTGGGTCCCCCAGGAAAAAAGTGTTCCTGATTATTTCACTTAAAATTAATATTTTAGCTCATATTTTGATATATACTGGAATTCATATATTCTTTGAAAAGCAAATAACAAAGGAGATTGGACTTCAAAATAATTCCCAAATAAAATGCATAATTTTAAGAATTTTATAGGCTTGGCTCAAAATGTTATGTTGAACCCAAAGTAGCATGTTAAAAATAAACTATTGTAAACATTATGTAAAATTTCACTTTTGTTTTTGACAATCGTAATTGACTTCCTTATCACTGTCTTTATATTTTATTTTCAAAATAGGTCTAAAGATAGCATGTACCATGCCGTAGGTTATAGCGCTATATTATTTATGCAAGCAACAATGACGTTTGAACAACAGGATATCCAAATGGGACTGTGTACAATTAAAGAAGCTTTACAAACTTGTCAAAAGTAAGATGGAACAATTTTACGACATTCTTGCAGGATTGATATAATCAGGATTGGTATTATTTCATTATGTAATGAAAAATATGTGTTTGTTTGTATCCTGCCTTTATTATTTTTACAAATAACTCAAGACAGCGAATATATCCAACACCATTTCTCTTCCAATTTACCCCACTATAACAACCATGTGAGATGAGTTGGGCGGAGAGAAAGTGATTAGCCCAAGGTCATCCAGCTGACTTTCATGGTAGAGCTCTAGTTAATTTGGAAAGAAAAAAGTATTTGTTATTTTAACGAGAAAGCTCAACATTTTCATTACTTATTAATATTTATAAGATTTTTATAACAATGAAGTTGGATGAAAAATAAATGGCATTTTTCAAATTTTAAATCTGCTGTTGAGTCCATTGAAAAATAAACCTGGATCTATTGTCGTTGCCCTCCCCTTTTCAAAATTAAATAATATCTTTGCTGCATTTTAAAACTTTACTACAGATATCTTCAGATGATACTGCAGTAGCCAAGTAATTGAGATAACTCTAGAGCTTGTACTACCTATCAAATCACACAGTGCTAATCCATATAACCTGCTTTTCCAAGAACAAAGAGAAAAACTGCAGTGTAACTAGAACATTGGGTATGCCGATTCAAGGTAGCTTTTCAGGTTGCAGCTAATGGTGAATGGGGGTGGAATTTCACTAAGGGAACCTGTGTACTGTGAGAATGACAAGATTTAAGGAAGCATTACTTATTTCTGGCTTCAGGATTGAAGCACAACACAGCAAAGCAGTTGTGTGGAAGTATCCATAATCTTCTGGTTCCATTTCCTTATTCCCCTTTGTTTGCTTAGCATCATGTTATTGGAAATTATTTGTGCAATAGTACAATGTGTTTTCTGTAGATTCAGTAGAGCACAACTTGTTTAGGATTCTTTGTTTTTATGATAGTTGCTTTAATTAAACAACATGATGAAAGTTTGTTTTTCTTATTTATGTCAATATAGGTTTAGAAAAAGAAACACAATGGTGGAATCATTATCCAGTTTGGTTTCAAAACAGTCTGTAGATCAGCTGAGTGAAGGTAAGAATATACAAGCAGACTTCCCATGATATTTGAGTTTTAGTCTATTTTGCAAAAAGTTGTATATATTTTTCACACATATAAACACATACATGGTGAAAAATATGTACAACATTTGCAAAATAGTCTAAAACTCAAATATCATTGGAAATGGGCTTTCTTTATTTTTATTTAAAGGATGTTTAACTTTTTTGTTTCTGTAGAAAGAAAAAATCCTGCCCAGATTATCAGCATATCAGGGTTCTGTTTTAATCTGCCTTGGGAAACTTTGGTGTCAAAGGGTGAGAATCACACACAAACTTTCTGGATGGCAAACTGTCCCAATCTTCATCCTTAAAGATCCAAAAACCATGGGAACCTGAAAATTGATTGTCAATAGTTAATGTTTTATAAATCTTAACATTTAATTTGAATATTGGTTTAGATGTCACTACATCGCATTCAATTAATAGGCCCCTTTCATTTCCTTACACTGGAATAATGTGGAGGGCATTATGTGCACAAGAAGACGTGCCAGAATATAATTTAGACTTCAGTATTAATCTGCTTTCTAACTGACAGATGCTACGAGCTCTGAAATAACAATCCTTATAAAACATCTATAAAACACTTAAGTCTGGCAATGAACCATGTAATAGTTTTATTATTGCTGAATTTTACACAGTAATTTGGAATGATGCACCTTTGAATTTGCTTCCTTGTTCATCTATATCACATTGTGTAAATATCAAAGGATTGCAGTCTAGTGATTACAGATAGTCTGCGACATAGGACAGGTTGCTTTATGGATGTTCAAACTTACATCAACCACCCACAAAAACTATTTATGGCTTTTGTGTACAGCCACTAAGTCCCCACAGGCCTTTTCTTCTTCCCAAGGGTTCTGCAGGCCTTAAGCCTGATTCTACACCACCAAGCCTCACATTACCTTTTGAAGAGCTCTGGAGCCTTCTGCAGCACTGGAAAGATCGCTTATAGCCCAATTCTGGAAGTTCCCACCATGTTCCCAGTGGCCACATTGAATTCTGATATGATGACCCTAAGTTTCACAAAGCAACTTACAAACTTGGCAGCTAAAAGCCAGATTATAGATCAGGTAAAATTCTCCAAATATTTGCCTATGAATTTTTATTATTCTACTAAATACAGGGCACATTCACATTACATCAACCAAAATGCATGAAAAATAAGAGTTATATAGTCACATAGCACAGTCAAACATCATCATAGGAAATGTTTTATGCTATTTTGTATGATGTCATAATTTTATGATAATATTAAATATTTTATAACATTTACCAAATTTCAACTCCATGGGAGTCCTTGATCCCAGATTTTGGACATGTTCGATAAATTAGCCCATTTGAGATAACTATATAATATAGGGCATATTATATCTGGGCAGTATTAATTGTACAGTGTTTTAATGTCCCTCATAGTAGTTCTTAAGGGCATATAAAAAAAACCCATGTGAATTACAATTGGACCCTTCTGGATAAAGGCCTATTGAATCCATACTTCATATCCTGCTGCTTAAATTTTATTGTTTTATAAGGGTGCAATGGCTTATTTTATCACCACTCATTCACCAAAGTGTCCAGACAATTCTGATCTATTCCATGTTAAATACACAAAGAAGTACTCAGTTTCTATGAACATGGCCTAATATGGTTACATGTTTGTAAAACCTAGTGCAATTTGATTGCTTTGATGATCTAGTTCTAAAACGATTGTTTCCCATTGGATGTTGATTTGTTGCATTCTGATTAGTGACCATAGTAAAGAAGCAATGTTGCTAATGGTAACTGTGTCCTTAAGTGTTATATGTTATATATTGTACATGTCCTTCTAAGCCTTTCATGTGTATTCAGCAAGCTTTCCTGAACAATTGGAATGCATGGCATGTATATTTATATTTTTTTGTAACCAATACAGTACATATTTTTGATAATATTTCTTCTTTATGTCTTAAGAACTTTAAGAACTGCCAAAAGAGTTAAAATGTCATCATTATTTCTGCAGGCTGAGTGTTAGTTCTCCAAGTAAATATTGGTGCAGTAGTTTCATTCTGTGATTTAAAACAACAACAACAACCAAACAACTTATACCATCACAACATAAAAAGTTTTCCAAAATCCTGCTTTAGATTTCAAGTACAAATTTTAAAATTAACAAGCCATGATCTCCTTGACCTCTATACCAGTATTGGCTTGGTTTATTAATTATTTTCAGCTTTACTTAGAATTATTTTTATCAAAGTAAAATACTTAAAAATATTTGGGCTACCAGATAAACTAAAAGTGTTTCATTAAAAATAATGTATATTATAGAAACAATAAAATAACATTAACATAAAGCAAAACAGTTTGCAAAAAAAGAAAAGGGACACGTATGTTCAGGGTTTGGTTAAATAATAGGGAGAAAAGATAACTGGTTAGAAAAAGAATATGTAATTAAAGGCTAAAGTAAGAGAAATAATGTTAGTTAATTTTTAAAAAACAATGCAAATGTGAGAATACTGCAATATTTTGTGGAATGCCTTTTGGTTTTTAGCATTTCTTGCTTTAATAAAAATGCTGGGTACTAGATATATACACATACACATACATTTTTCTTTTTTAATAGAGGAAATGCATGCAGAACTCTGTTATGCTGAATGTTTACTGCAGAAAGCAGTCCTGACATTTGTACAGGTAAATATAGTATACAAGTAATATAGTTTGTGTATATATTGCCAATCTATTAGAATATAGGACTCTAAAAACAAATTTTTCTTTGGTATCTCACTATTGCCTTTTTGAGGCAAGAAATTTAGATACAAGTATGAATTTATTAATATTAAGACACAGAGAAAGATTAGAATTTCATTTTGTGCATCTACTTTTTAAATCTTAGATGGGATTTGTGAATCTCAGTGAGGTTATCTGGCAAATTACCTTTAAGTACGCACATCTTTTCTTATCCATGAGATTCTTCCATCAAATATTACAGAAATTTGGAAGCAATAAATTCTGTATGCATACTATAATATTCAGAAATATTGTTGCCCAAATATCTTATATGGAGCTATCACTTGCTTATATACAAGATTGTCTTTCCAGTTTCTAGAGTATTAGATGTGACTGTGTTCTTTTTGAGATGTTCTCATCTGAAACACATTTAATCCTGCTTCATATACAGACATTATCAATTTCTTCTTTGTTTGCTCGTGCTTTGGAACCAACCTGTTTGCCTTTCTCCTGTGCAAAGTAAACATCATGCTACATTATAGATACAGTAATGACTCTTGCCATTTTATTTCCTATAATGATAGATGGGAAAGCCTTTTAACCCATCCCATAATCATGGATTCTAAAATGTTTTTCTGGCCAAATCTGACTTAGTTTCCATATTCATCCACATCTTCTGTATATGTGTGATTTAGGAAAAGGTGTTGAGGATTGGGTTCTGCATTGGAATGCTGGTAACCAATTCCAAAATTGTGGCTCTTATCGAAGAAATAACATTCTGACTTTGAATATAAATCCTATTTACACAGTTGATTAATATTCTGTCTTCATTGGTGAACTTTGCTTTGCTATCCTACATACACAATTATATAGACGTTTGATAGTGAGATTTACTCCTTGGGTTCCAAAAACAAACTTGCAAGAGGGCATTCTTTATCAGATTTAGACTCTGATAAAGAACTGCAATAAGGAAGAACTCACAATACAATCAAACAATAAAGCTAGGACATGATATTCTTTGCCTGTTATGTACTGAAATATCAGATCTTGCTAAACAGGCTTCTTAGAACTTGTTGAGTTTGGCAACTTAATTATTATTCAAATGATACTTATTTGATGAGAAATGTGTCTGAAAGCCAGAATTTCTACAATTAAGTCCTCTCTCTTAATCTTCAGTAAATATTTATGCAGGATCATCCTTGTAAACTGTCAAAGAACTTTGCAAATAGTAAAACAATTGTTCATGATTATACTCTATTGAAGCTTTTGTACAATCCTTGTACTCATAGAACTGAAATATGTGTTCAGAGTCAAAATCTTTAAATATTTATCAAATGTTTTATCAATTTCATATTTAGGAATATCTTTAAAATCAACAATACAGCCTATTAAAAATAAGTAGGATTGTACTTCATTGAAGCTTGATGTAGTTCCTATATTTTCAAGATGAGCATATTTGATATAAACTATTAGTTATTACTAATTATGAATCATATTGCATTATACCATTCATATACTAAAAATAGAATCATACAGAAAATGTAGCTTTTGGGTAAATATAACAAGTGGAAATTGCTGAAGAAATCAGTTTTCTAATCAAAAGAGTCTGGAAATGCCAAGCTTTGTTGTCTGTTATGTTATTATTGTAACTAATACTATAGTTCTTGTTATTTTTATTATCATTTACTTTTAGCACCATCTAGTGTTATCATATGTTACTTCAATTTGTTCCATAATGTTTTATTTCTCAGTGATTTCTTTAATAAAGTCCCTTGGTTAAGAATAGCTTTCACATTCTTTTATATATATTTAGGAGTGTGCATGTATGAACATTTAATTTGTAAAGCTATTTTCAAAGTATACGTTTTATAGATATATTTATTCATTTTAAAATTCCATAGATGAGTATGATGTATACAACTGTACTATTTTATTCATTAATTAATTAATTTAAAGTTTATTTTTCTTCCAGGATGAAAATATGATCAATTTCATCAAAGGTGGCTTGAAAATCAGAACAAGTTATCAAATATATAAGTACGCTCCTAAAGTATTTCACTTAGGCTGTGTATTATGTCTATTTGTGTTTTATGTTTCAGTAAATTAATTCCCCATCATAGCTTGAAATAGTGCGAGGAAATTTCCTGGATTTAAAAAAGAATGTCATTTTGGCAATGATTTCAGTCTTGCCAGATTGAAGACAAGAATAGTTAAATAATAATAATAAAGCTATCTATCTATTTATATATTGTTCTGATACCAATGGTAATTGCTTGTGAATTTCTTTCTATTAGCAAATCATTTCCATAACATTATCAAAAAAATTGCAGAGATGCAGACACCAGGAATTAAGCTTGGCTCAGTGCCATCCTTATTACTAGATATGCAAACGGTTATGGCTATATCATATACCGTACTAAGCAGGGCCACAAGATGTCTAGGGTTACTTCCAATTGTGTGATTCTGCCATTTAAAGTACACAAGTTATTATACAAGCCACAAAATATTGTGTTTCTATATAAAGAAATATGATCTTGGGGTAGACATGTGTGAAATTATGCAGGCATGGTGTGGATATCTCCGTGACCGCCTCCTGCAACATACCTCCCAGCACCCAATAAGATCGCACAGGGTGGGCCTTCTCCGGGTGCAGTCGACTACACAATGTCATCTGGCGGCTCCTTGGGGGAGAGCCTTCTCTGTAGCTGCCCCGGCCCTATGGAACGATCTACCCCCTGAGATCTGGACCCTCCCCACTCT